CACGCAACACTGCCCACACTCCCAGCCCCACCATACGTACAGCCCCACGCACACTCCCTCCCAGTATACACAGCCCCACCTACCTAGTCAGCCACGCCCACAAACAGCCCCGCCCACACTCCCAGTTCCCCGCCCCCCAGTAACACACCACTAGCGGGACACCACTAGTCCCGCCCACACTCCCCAACTACCTCGATGGTCTGGGCAATCTGAACCCACTCGGTGATAGTCATGTCACTGGAGTCGAAGAGGGGCTGGCACTCCAGTACCGTGTAGATGACCCTCTGGTCAGGGCTGGCGGGCCTGCGGGAGGCAGAACAAGGGCTCCCACTCTGTCCCCTCCTCCCTTGGCCTGCTCTGTTCCCCTCCACCCAGCCAGCCCCCCTCGCCTGCCCCCCTGCACCGAGGGGCTTCTCAGTAGGTTCTGCATATCCACAATCTCTCAGCAACCTGAATACAGGGCCCAGCCTTCCTTCCACCCAGAGTGCCCAGGAACAGGGACCTTGGTCCTCACGAGGGGTCACGGCTGGGCCGGGACAGGCTGCTCCCCAGCAGTGTCACCTTCCCAGAACCGGCTCTAAGAGGGGGCCCAGGCCTGGTCCTCCATGGGCCAGGAGCGGACCCTGGGAGGACGATCTCTGGCAGGAGGGAAGCCAGACCAGGAGGCCATGAAGGGCACCAGGCAGCCTTGGCCCAGAACTAAGAAACAGAGAGAACTTTGCACTGGGGGGAGGCGGGGGCTACCTGGGGCCAGCCCCTGCCTCTCCCGATGGGCTTGGGTCCCCGAGTGGCTAGGCCCAAGGCCTGCAGCCCCCCCAAGGCTCACTTGAAAGAGGGCCGCTGGTCGGTGCTAAAGCCATAACACTAGTGACCACAGCCTGCCCCACGGACCCTGCAGGAGCCGTCCCGTCTCAGGATAGGCCCACCCCTACGACAGCAGGCCGTCATCCCCGGCTGGGCCCCAAGGCCCCACACTCACGGCAGCACCAGGGTGTCCTCCGGGAGGCCAAGGGCCCGGGCGTGGTCCTCATCATGGAACATGGGCAGCGTCCTCAAGGCAGCGGCCAGGCCCCTCCCAGGGACGAGCACTGCAGGCAGAACCCAGTGCAGGGGGTGTGGGGTCAGGGGCTGGCAGCCACCACGGGCTCCTGTAACCGCCGGCCCCTCCCTCCTCATCAGGGCACTTACCCAACACGCTGGGGGCCAGGCCAGGGCGGGGGCCAGGCCAGGGCAGGGGTCAGGGGTTTGGGGTGGGGACAGAATCCAGGGCCCTGGTGAGATTGGGCAGCCGTTCCAGGTCTGGATGAGACAGCTTCCTCCCGGGGGGCCGGGCAGCCCTCCTCTGGCCACTCCACCCAGGGCCTGCCCCGGCCCACCCCGTCTCCAGGCGACCCCGTGCTCCCAGCTGAGGTTCAGGGGCCCAGGCTGTCCCCCGCCTTCCATCACAATGCAGCACAACGCACCCACGCTTCTCCCCACCACTTGCCGGGTGACCACACTAACTCCTGCGGGCAGACATGCTGTCTGCTCTGCCTGGAAGTCCTTAGCCCCTCCTCCTTCAAACCAGTATGTGCTTCGCCCCCGCTCAGGTCACCACCTCCAGGAAGCCCTCCTTGACGTCCAGGCCCCGATGCCCTTCCCACACACTTCCCCAGCAGCCCCTGCTCCCTCACTAGGCTGTGTGACCCCTCCAAAACCCAGAAACATGTCCCATGTGCCAGAAACAGGCATCTGAGGCACTGGGCAGAAATGGCGTCGTGTTTTAGAAAACCCTCAAAGGTCACAGCTGTGTCTGCTAGAAACAACCCCTCGGCAAAGGCTCCCTCTTGTCCCTCCCTGCTCCCTACCAGCACCATGACCTTAGACAGGTCAGCTAACTTCTCCGGGCGTCTCCCACACACTTGGACACAGTGACAAGGACAACAGGGTCCCCTTCCTCGAGAAACGCCTTTAGCTGAAACGAGGAAGGAAGACCTTTCAAGACCGGGCGAGTGGTCACTCCTGGACGACACCCTTGCTCTCGGCCTCTGCAGCCCACGGGGCACGTCCAGCCCCCGCTGCCGCTTAGCGGCCTAAAACAGCCTGCTGTTCGGGCCTTGAGAAGCCTCCAGTGCCAGCAGGGCTGTGACCTCACTGGCAGTGCCGGGGGACGGTCTGCCCAGGCCCGCTCGGGGTGTCGGCGGAATTCAGTTCCATGCGTGTACAACTGCTTCTCTGCTGCCTCTCCCACGGGGGTGGTTCTCAGCTTCTAGGGGCTTCCCGCGTTCCCGGGCTCGGGCCCCGTGCTCCGTGTTCACAGCCAGCAACGGCTTTAATTCCCATGCTGTGATCTCTCTGACTTGGCCTCTGAGTCATCTCCTCCCTTTAAGGAGCCGGAAAGCTCACTCGCCTCACCCGCGGACACCCTGCCGCTCAGTCCTTCCTGAGGCCACCGTGAGAGTCTGTCTCCTCACCAGGCCGGCGGCCAGCTTCCCGCCGCTGAACGTGAATCTGCTCTTTTCCTGAGGGCCAGCAGCTCAGCATCAGGCCCTGAATCTCCAGCCCAGCACCCTGGGCCCTCTCCTGTCCCTCGTGCCCACTGATGCCCTCCCTCCCGCCCTGCAGCTCCCGGCAGGGGCTGCCCCCCCACCGTGGCCTTCTGAGGGCCGCTCGGGCAGATCGGCTTCCCACGGCCGCTTAGCACGTTACCCCAAACAGGTGGAGAGTGGGCGCAACACCTCCCTGTCGTCACACAGCATCTGTGGGGCAGAAGCCCGGCCCACTCCACGCTCAGCAGGACCGCACTCCTCGCTCGCTCAGCTTTGCTCAGGCTCCCTCCATGTGCCCACCTTCTACGTGCCAGGCACGCTGGCCCCATGGGTGCTCCTGGATGTTCATGGTGCCATCTCCGCAGCCGGAGAGGGATCCCCAGGGGAGCCCCCGCCCCGCACACGGCCCCAGCAGGGGCTCCACGCACGTTTCATGCAGGAGTAAACAATGCGGGTTAGCTGCTACGGGGCTGCTTGAGGAAATACCACGTCGATGGGGCTCAGGAGACAGAGGGGGACATCAGTGCACGATTGCCCGCCTGGCCACACCCCCAAGATGCCCGAAGCATGACCAGGACACGTGCCTGCCTCCACACAGGTCCAGGCTCACCAGCCCCACCAGCATCGAGGACAGAACTTCAGAACCCGGGCACGGAGGAGGGCTCACAGCCACCCGGCCGCCCAGCCCTGGCGGCCAAGCTCCCCGACCCCACCCTCGGCAGGCTGACAGGCAGCCCCCAAAGGTGCGCATGCCCTCCCCGCGAGAAAGGCAGTCTTTGCATGTGCGATGGAGTTAAGGGTCCGGAGACGGGGGCACCACACTGGATTGTGCAGGTGGGCCCTAAGTGTGGGAGACTGGACACACGGAGGAGGCAGCCACGTGAGGACAGGGCAGAGAGCCGCGTGAAGGCGCCGGCCGTGAAGACCACGGCGATTCAATCACAGCCAAGGAAGCGGCAAGGACGGACCCTCGCTGCCCCATGTCAGACGCCTGCCTGTAGCACAAGGGGGCCACCTGCTTGGTCACGTGTGGGAGCAGCCCCAGGACGCTCACAGAGCCACTTTCCACCCCAGCTCCTCGTGGGGGGTGGTGCCAACCTGGGGATCCACGGACGGGGCAGGGGAGGTGGGGATGCACGTGGTCTGGGTTTCACGGGGCGAGCTCATGATGTGGGTGGTCGCCTCCACCCACAGCCAGGCTGTTGCCGGCCGACGGTGAGGCAGTGACCGCCGTCGGCATCCTGCTGCAGCGGGGTGGGAAGCGGCAGGGCCAGAGGACCCCGAAGGGTGGGAGCCCGCTGTTCCCGCCCGGGACTTATGTGCACGGCACAGGCAACGCTGGCCCAAGAAGAGGCGATGCCCTCCTGGTCTGTTCTCTCTGGGCAAAACCCGCCACGGCACTGTGACACCAAAAGAGCGTGGGAAACCGTGCAGCCAGAGAATGGGGGGGAAAGAGCTGAGGGAAAGTCAGGACGTTAATGAACAAAAATCGTGCCTTGGGGTTCTGTGACATCCTTGGCTTTTTCAAACCGGTCATTTGTTATGATTTCCTTACTCGTTCCGCATAAACGTCTGCTCTCACACTGAACTCTAATTTTGTAAATTGTATTATTTTTCTCCACAAGGGCCCCCGCCCCCCCACCAGGCCCCTATAAAACCAGAAGCAGACCATGCTTCTCAGCTACGGCCAAACCCCTCGTGTCTAAGGGACGGTTTGTCCTCTAGGACTGCGGGTCCCTGGGGAACCACCTATAGCTTCGGCTAGAAAAACGTGAGCGTGTGAAGCTACGCTCAGGGAGGAGGTCCAGGTCGAGTGCTCAGACGCCATGTTGCGGTGACCGAGAGACGGTGGACACCACCCTTACGGGCGACGCTTGGCTGCAGGACCAACTGTGACCCCCACCCCAGGCTGTCCTGGCATGTTCAGATACCTGCCCCCAAAGTTCTGCTCCCCATGCCGTGTCTGCAAGTGCCTGCAAGGGACGCTGGGGCAGGGTGGCACTCAGAGGTCACAGGGGCCTCTGGCTCCCTCAGCCGGATGGGAGGGGCCTCTGGCTTCCTCAGCTGGGTGGGAGGGGCCGCTGATGCTGCTCAGCCTTGGGACCGAGGCCATCATCTGACTCTGCTTTCATGATGCCCCTTGACCTGTGACATCTCTGCTGGACTCAGAGAAGGGCTGGGTCCAGGGGTGTCCCAGGCTGCAGCGGCCTCTGCCCTCCGCTCGCCGTCCCGGCCTCTGGCAGGGTTCAGACAAGCGGAGCCGTGTGCCCTGCAGGCCACTGTTCACACCCTCCACAGTGACAATCCAAACAGCCTAGCTGTTGCTGGCCTGCTCCCCTCGCCACCCTCTGCCACAGTCCCGAGGCTGGAGCCCCGTCAGCAGTGCCAGGCGAGTTAATCATTGATACTGTCCCGAGTTCGACGACCCCTGCTGGGCTCGGAGAGGGCAGGGGCTGCCCAAGGCCCTCCTAGTGTGGCCTCCAGCCTCCAGGCCTGGCTCCTGCGTCCATCCCCATCGTGCCCGTGCCTGTGCCCTGGCCTGGGGGCTGCCCTCGTCCCCGGACACCTTTTCAATCTACGCACACTTTTAGGCAAAAAAGTCAGCACAAGATGTGTGTCCCTGAACACTGAAAGCAGGCCTGAGGGCCGTCCCTGGCCTCAGGGGGCCAAGGGGTATATGACACGACAGGCACAGCAGGGACCAGACCCCATGTCTCTTCCTCTTTCGTCCTCTGGGGTTTAAGCCACCACCCCCCCCCCAAGCCTTCCTGAAGTCGGAGGACTGGGGAAGGAGCAGCCCTCAGCAAGGAGCTGGGAGGCACCACCAAGGCCCCCAGCGGACCAGTCGCCCCAGGCCGGCAGCTGCCTGCTCCCCAGCCGTCACCTGCCCCGCAGCTCAGGAGACCAGCTTCCTTGCCCCCCAGGACAGGCTGGTGCTTCTGAGGTGCCTTCCGAGCGCAAGAAGGCGTCCGCTGACCTCGCCTTCACCAGGCCAGGAGGCCCCAGCGCCAGAGCAGGCTCCAAGGGATTCTGGAAGATTCTTCCCCATCTGTAGCCGACCCCCACACCCTCTTTCCTGAGTCAAGGTCTCTAGTTCACCTTCTGAACATGTGACTTCGCAGCCTCTCCGGGAGAAGCAGCACCCGTGGGAGTGAGCCACAGGGCTGCCTCGGAGGATGGGCAAAGAGGTCAGAGAAAGGTGGGAGAGAGGTCAGAGTCCACCAGTCCGTGCAGCCCAGACCCTCAGGAACCATGTGTGAGCTCAAGAGAATCGCAGACGGCCACATGCCAAGCCTGGAGGGGCAGCGTCCGGGATGGGCCAGGGTCCCAGACGGTCCGCCCAGAGCAGCTCCCCTCTCTCGGCCCAGCCTCCACCTCCCGGCCCCTCCCGCTCTCTCCCACCTGGGTCCAGGCCCCAGGCCCTCAAGGGAGGCCACAGCCACACGCAGGGTCCCAGCCGTACAGGTGCCCACGGCCCTACATCGTCTCCCCAGACCGCCTCTGTGACTTGAATCACATGCCGCTGCTGGTTTAATGTCAGCCCCTCTCAGGCTTGTGACGGCCGAGGGAACCAGACAGAGCAGCACCCAGCAGGGGTGTCACCGGGGACCTCCGGCCAGTGTCACCGGGGACCTCCAGGCTTCAGAAGTCCACCCGTGAACTAACCAGGCAGAGAGGCGGAAGGCACAGCAGCAGAGGGCTGGCTCCTGGCAGCCCAGGGAGGGGCAATTGGCGGGCTGGGTGGACGGCCACGTCCCTGGGGCCTGAGCCCCTACAGGACAGGGCTCTACGCAGGCCTGAGTCCTAGAGCCCGGCATGGAGTGGGCCCCAAGGAATGTGCGAACTGTCTGTGTCGCAGATGGAATAACAGGGACAGAGGCTGGAAAAGCTGCTGTTGGAGCCACAAAGAAAGCACCAGTGGGAAGGGGGGGACCAG